TGTTGACTACAATGCTTTTCACAATCACTCTTTTGTAACTAACAGTAAAACTACTAATTGTGTAGTTAAATCATACCAGATGCTCATTACTAGTTATAGAACTTGAGTGTAAAGGAAACATGTTTTTACAGATTTTTACTTCTAACTTTAGAAATTTTTAATTATCTTAAATTGCTGGGTCCTCTTCTCTTTAATTAATGAAACCTTATTAAAAAATCTACTTTATGATTTTTATGAGTGCTATGAATAATTAACATTCCTATAAACACTAAACTACAAATATTCTCTAAATATCTAGCCTCCATATACTCAAATCAAAAGTTTAATTCAATTTCCCAGAACAGTTAGGTGGATCAATGAAAATCATACTTCTATGTCATCACACTATCCTAAATGCTTTAAACCCTCAGCACACAAAACTGCATACACTAAATCATAATGATTTCATAATTTGTAAGTATATATGCCAGGGAATTTTCTGATTTAAATTTTACTCTCATTGGACTTTTTGTTGTTTGTTTTTGTTTTAGGGAAAGGGTCTCTCTGCAGCCCCAGCTGGCCTGGAACTTGCTATGTAGACTAGGCTGGCCTCCATCTCACAGAGATCCCTGACTCTGTTTCCTGAGTGCTGAGATTAAAGGAGTTTACCTCCATGCCTTGCTTGGGTATTCTAGTCTTATATTTATCCTATATTTAAATTTTTTTGTTTATAAAGACAAGATCTCACTAGCTGGCCTTGAACTTTTATACAACTGAGTAATTATCAGGTCATAATTATGTTTGTCTGGCCTCCATCTCACAGAGATCCCTGACTCTGTTTCCTGAGTGCTGAGATTAAAGGAGTTTACCTCCATGCCTTGCTTGGGTATTCTAGTCTTATATTTATCCTATATTTAAATTTTTTTGTTTATAAAGACAAGATCTCACTAGCTGGCCTTGAACTTTTATACAACTGAGTAATTATCAGGTCATAATTATGTTTGTTTTTCTATACTCTTAAACCATTCTCTAATATACCTCAAGATTATAAAGAAATTCCAGGCATCCTTTTATTTTGATAGAATTTTTAAACAAGTTTGGAAGAAAAAATATGATAGAATTCAAAACTACAAGGCTGAAATAATGGGTGTACTTGCGTGTGCATACAGAGGTCAAGAGGACAACCTCAGGTGCTGTTTCTCAGGTGCTGCCTATCTTTTAAGATTTATTTTAAATTATGCAAATATGAGGGGGGTATCAGGTGGTATGTGCATATGTGAGTGCTGGTAACTGCAGAGTCCAAAAGAGGAGTTAGAGCCTCTGGAGCCAGAGTTACAGGCTGTTGTGAGCCACCATGTGGGTGCTGGGAACTGAATCCAGATCCTCTG